TGACATAAACAATATAAATGAATCTTATCGTTTTCTAATTTCACATAGCGATGTGTACATGTTTTGCAAATATAATGTGAGCAACTTAATAATGAATCATCTGCTTTGTTAGTATCACATTAACAACAACGGTAATGATGATGTGGATCTATTGAATGACGTGACTATCGGAGAAGAAAGTCGATATGACTGGTTATCGCGAATGGATGTGTTCGTCATGTATTCGTTATTCTTAAATTCACTATATGGAGGTTTTTAGAACCCTGTTTTCTATTCAGATTTATATCTGCTAAAAATCAGTGTAATATGAACATTGGTTTCTGTCTCATTCTGTACTGATCTTTTTTAGAAACCGAACAGAAGACATCAAGTAAAATTTTTCAGGATGAGAAGTTGTTGTAGGGACAGTAAAGTTGGTTCGATCATGTATAATTATGGTCTCCTAAAATGCCAACCATTTGACTAGACTGTTCATCCATATTGTTTTGCTTGAGTACCTCAGATGCTTGGGAAAATGATTGATTGTCAAGGATGCCAAACTCTTTGAACTATAGAGAACGAGTGTCGACAATAAAGAAATCAAATATCCAATTTTGCAGCTGCAAATGAGTCAAAAGTATATTTGTTGTGAAATAATCTAATGTATTCATTTCACATTAATACCATTGATACTTTTCTCTAATTTATAGAATCCTGAGACTAAGATCTGAAAATAAAACTCTCATAATTACTGCTGACGCGTATAGAACGTTCAATCGCAGACTTTATCCAGGCATGATATTCATTCTCTATGAGAGTGTCTGTGTAGGTGTGTAAAGTTATTTAGGGTGAATCGCGACGGTTTATGGTGAAATAGGCTGCATTTAGCACGATTTTTTGATGGTATTTGGAAGATATTGTTTATTTAAGAGTGTTTAATAGAGAATGAATACTATGCTTGAATAGAGCTTCTCGGGTTACACTTGGAAAGTTGTTTGGAAGGTTCTTCAAAGCGAAGCATTTCAACAAATATTCAGATCCTGACTTAAAAAATCCTACCTAAATATATGCCCATCGAAAATTTCAACTCAATGGATTGAATTATTCTTGATTTATGGTGCTATCTAGGCTCTCATTAGTTGAACTGTAGGGTTTTGAATATTGCATAAAATAATCGCATAAAAACGAGAGTTCGATATTCTTAGAGTGCATAAAGCTTTTCCTTCGATAATAATATTTTCAATTGAGCAATATCTGAGAGCATGTTGATGGAGCGGGTTCAGTAACGATGAACGTGTAATGACTATTCGACAAAATTTAAATACAAGATTTAACATTAAATAAATATGAAAACATCGGATTTAAATCCGAGTATTATTTGTACTTCAAAAAGTGAACTAGACAGATGAGTCATCATAGCATGTGTAGACATCTCAATTATCCTACCAAGTAGTTTCTATTAAAACTGGATTTCTGTTGGTTACTGCTCAACTAATAGAATTTGGAGGCAAGTGAAGCTCACATTCAAGTTCTTCGCCTTCAGAAAACCTCGAAGTATCATTTCTGTGATAGGTAGATGTGGCTTTGAGATTTTCAATCAATACGAGTGTAGACAAACACAGAACCAATTTCCATTTAAGTGTCACGGCAATAGGGACTTAGTCTTCTTGTTTCTTAATGTTTTATATACCATTTTGTAGCCCGTGAAATTCTCTATCGAATGGTATATAATAGCTGAAGTTTTGTTTCATTATGAGAGAACATAGAAAAGCATAGGAAACAATAACATTTTTTGCGATAACTCAGCAATTTCTTGACCAATCATTCTCATCTTCGAACTTGATTGAGATATCGATGAACCCATTCTGTGTAGAAAATTTCATCACAATTGGACTATCCTACGACGAGTTATCGTGTAAACGATCACTCGGACACACTGACCGATTATATAGTGTGCTCACTTTTTGAGTACACCAAAAGTATATCTCTGCTATTTTTCTTAGACAAATATATATAAGCTTAGTAATTTGGATTTGGGCCCATTTTGAGTAGGCCCTCTGATTACCAAAACAGGCGAGTCATGATGGATCTCAGTAGGTTGCAAAAAGGATTGTATAGTGGAAAATCATTCTAATGTTAACTCATTTTAGGTCCGTGTGGATATTCGCCGAATCAACTTGCTAAGCTCAATCTATTAATGAAATCAGTTCGCGATTCGGAGAATTTCGTACGTCTTAGCATCTTGTACAAATATCCTATGATGAAATTATTATCGTTGTCTTTAATTAAAGTTTCTAAATGAAGATCTTCTGCACATATTTTCCTTAAGTCAACTTGCACTAATACCTTTTTTCAAATAAATATAAAACATGGAAAGTATCATTGAACACATCATCGAATAATATATATTCGATAGTTCATGTCTTTGCTATTCGTCATTAGAATCCTCCATACACACTATTAAAATTGATCTTACTTCAATGTGACCGAAATAGAGCAAAATATTATGTAAGGAAAGTTAGCAGGAGATTCGATTATTCTGTACTGACATTCGCTCATAGACTTGGTCTGATTTTCACAGTGGTTAGACTGAATATAGAGTTCAATTCTCTACAGAATGGTGATATTTGCAAGGAGGTCATCGGATGCAAAACGCGGCGCAACTGCAACGAGTCGCGGTAAGAGAACCTTAGATGATCAATCATGTCGTTACTTCGTCACCTCATGAACACCCGCACCTACACCTGCGCCTACTAACACCAACATTTACGCCCACACCCTCAAAATTGATCTTTCTATATAGCAACACCAATTCCATTGGTTAGTTCACTTTCAATCACTTTAGTCTGCTTATTATCTTTATTATGAAATAACATGACGACATTGATATTTATTCGTCATTATTCTTATAGACGGCAAGGTGTGTGGGTGTTGTTCTTTTCTTCACTCATACTCACGCCTACACTCACACCCTCCAGAGTGTTTCCAGAGATTATTAGGGAATCTTCAGAGGCCTTCAGAAGATGTTCTTGGAATTTCCTATTGATCCCTGGATATCTGTCAGGTGGTCAACTGAATATGATTCAGGTAGGCACATAGCTGATTGGTAAAACATAAACTGGCAATTCATGGAATTTGGATTTCGCCGTTTTGAACCAAAATAGGTGTGAGTGCCACAGAAGAGGAACACGCACAAAAATATACACAAATTATTTATAGCATCGGGTGTGAGTGCCGCGAAACACGAACACGTCTAAGCATACAGAGATAGAACCCATAGCACCCTGTATGGGTATCGTAGACCGAATAGTTGAATATTTGAATAGTTGAAAAGTCATAACGATTTAACGACGTCTACATTACTAAATTTCTAAGCAGAAATGAAAGGATTAAAGATTGTGTTTATACTTTGTTTCACTAGCTCGTCTGTCCTTCTTTCTACTATATTACTGTTATCAATAAATATATGCTGTGCATTGTTTGCTGTAGTTATTTACATTTATTTGGAACAGTTATTGAATGTCTTAGTGCATCTATTCAATAAATGGAGTTAAACGAATATTTATCAATTATTCACAAGGACGGCTTATGGTCGTTCCATGATAGTCGAGCAAAGAAAAACAATGAATAATCCTAAGGAATTTCTTTCTTCAATAAGAGGAGAAAAAAACCAGCGGAAAATACATATCAGTCAAATGAAAAAAAATATATGGAAGTATACAAACGAGTAGCATACTGCGGCGATTAGACTATATTGATTATCTGTTTCATTTTTACATTTTAAGCTTTGGATGTATATTTTTTAGTGTTCTGCATAGTTAAAAATAATGCAATATTATCATTTGTTGACTAGTTTTTTTTTTGTTGGCTAATTGTGATGTGAACTGATTGTTAAACGCTAGATATAAGAAAAATATAACTAATTCACTACTCAAATATCGAAAATACTGTTCTTTACTACTCATACAACAATTTTTGATGAGTTAATTATTATTCATCTTTCAAACGGCAGAAAAAATTCTTTCTCATACGATAAAACGGCATATTAATCTTTTTAGAGAACTATTTTAATAGACTTGTAATAGAAATTTTTGTAAATTAAAACAAAGATTAACATCAAACATTCTCGATTTATGATACTTATAGCATATTGATCGCCTTGTAATGATGTAATATCGGAAAGAATAAATATAATAATTAAGTAAAGCATTGGTCATATAATACTAAAAGTTTGTTTTGCTTATAAATAGTTTCTTTGAAAAGAGTGGAGGCATTACACTTGATTTTTGGTTGCTCTGTTAGTGTTTACACTTTTCGCATCTTCTCTTTTATTCAAACTACTTATCCAAACTATGATATTCTTCTGTATATATTTTTCGTCTTTACACTTTTGTAATTTCATCAATGAAAAAGTCATCTGATGTTTTCTTTATTTTATAAATTAGTTCAAAAGATTCAATTTTTTAGAAGTAACTAACATAGCATTTTATCATTGAATTCACGTGCTTCAAAAAATATTTAGATACGGACAGAGAACTAGAGTTATCAATAGTAGGAACTAAAAACTATGTTTCAAGTTCTATTTTATGAAAAACTATTTATAACTGTTTATTCAGTACAAATATATATATGTCGAGTTCTTCATTTTTTATTCTTTTTGTTTAGCTATAATTAATGTGTTATCGAAAAGTATGTCCTTCAACAAACATGTTCTTTGTAATGTTTAAATGGAATATGGACGCATTCCATTATTATAGAATTGTTTCTAAGATAGGTGTGGGTATTTTTTCCATACACATCCTCCCAGCTAATATTGACATCTGATATAAAAGATTAATAATAGAAAGAATTAGAATGATTAACTTCAAAAACAAAAGCTATATTTCAGCAAAGTAAACACCACGATAGGAAAAAAAATGTATAAACAGAATTCAAATACAAAACAAAAACTAGATCACTGCAAAACTAACAATATACACTTGCATACACAATGGAAACAAGAACAAATTCATATTGATCATTTAAACACCATAAATATGATGAGCATTTTCTCTTAATTGACAAGCAACATCATCAATAGATAATTGTCGAATTTGTGCTACAGTTTCAACAACACTATAGACCATACTTGGATGAGCACAACGTAAAAGACTGGAAAGCTAAAATGAAAAATTTATATCAAATTTATGAGGAATATATTTTTGTAATAAATAATAACTTCTTCAGGTACAAAATAAGGTGAATCAGTTTCAGATAAAATTTGTGTTAGATCGAGTTGTTGAATAACAGTATGAAGAGAATTTCCACGAGATATAATTGGAGTAAAACCAAATTTAATTTCAGTAAAATAAGATGTAAAGAGATGAACATCATCGATTGTTCCAACAAAACAATGTAAATGAATCTTGTGATGAGGTTCAAGATACTAAGAGAGAAAAAAAGAACAAAACTAGAAATAATATGTAACTCTTGAAATATAATATCATTCAGTAATACTATGAAGAAATAGATCTAAAAATTTCGAATTATAACGTTTTGCGAAGTATTGTCTTACATATTGAAATCTTAATAAAATTTTCATAACTAATAATTATATTCTATGAATGTAAATCTTTCAAAAATTGATAGTACTAACAAAACAAAGTTGTAACTTTCTAAACTGTTGGAATGGTTTCATCACAAAATCAATATTTCAAATTATAAATTCGATGTGAAAATATTATAATAACATGAATTCTTTTTATGACTTGCCTAAATCATACACCAAGACTAGATATTTTATTTGATACAACTTTGAATGTTAAAGATATAAGTTGCAGTGAAATCGATATCGATGATTGGTAGTTCATTTTGAGCTGATTTAGACAGATTGAAATGGATATCAATTATTGAAATTCTCGGTGAGTTCTACCTCGAATCATAACCACAGTAGTATAGCAATCAAAAGATAGCCAACTGTTTAAGCATAAAGGTGCCGCTGATATAGCGCACATTATATCGAATGGTCTATAGACGGTTTTTGTCCAATTCGAATCACATCAGTCAATATTGTTCTTTCTTGCTAGTTTATTACCTGAAAAATTCTCTATTCTAAGTTCTAGGATATACTATGTTGTTTTTCCCATGAAAATAATGTCTATTGTATTCTTTAACTTAATTTCTTATTATTTGATAATTTTTTAATGAAATTAAATAACAAATAGAAAAGTCTATATATGTAAATGATCTCAAATGATTGAATCAAAATTATCATTATATACTGCATTTTATTTTTTATTTACTTGTTTCATTATATGAAATGTTTTTTGATAAGCATCTCTCGAATGTATAACAATTGGTTTTAACCATTTTACAGCTAATTTAAGTTGTTCTTCAAATACTCGACATTGTTGATCCATATTACATGTATTTCTTTTGAAATAAATATCAATAAGAAATCGAAATTAAAAAATAAATAATATTCATACTTAGGTCCAAAATCTAATCCAATTTCTCCAATAGCAACTACTTTTGGATGTTTAAGACATCGTTCAATATCTTCAATAGATGTTTCATTCCATGCTGAACTCCAATGTGGATGAATACCACATGAACCATAAATACGTTCATCATTTAAATATGTTGAATACAAATTTATCCAATTTTCTATTCATTCAAATATTAATATTAAATCAAAAACGGAAAAACAAAATGAGCATTTACTTTCATATAAATGTCTTGGTCGCCAAAAAACTTGAATAGCTAATTCAAATGAAAAACCAGATGGATATAAATCTTTATAATCATCAAAATATCTTTTAAAATTATTATGTTTAATATAAAGACTAAAAATAGATAAATATTTTTTTTATTTAAAGCTATCTTGAAATAATGAATGAGCCAAAAGTTTTAAAACAACATGTTCGTTCAATTTTCAACTGATTAAAATGATCATTAGAAGATATAAAATATTAGTTTAAAATCAAAATTTTGTGCTCTTTTCAAAATTAGATTCAAAATTGTTATCAGACTCATCTTTTAGGAGTTATGAGCGAATCTGTGGAAGGTCTGACAGTAAATTTTGAACGGGTTTCGAAGAGTGCAGAAAGCAACGCACAAAATAGAACTTAAGGCGTACTTGAATACTCTCATTGAAAATTTTCTAAGCGAGATTTGTTAGTCGCTTCGAAGATACGAAATACTTCTTTTTAGTTTTTGGTGACTAGCACATCCTACATATTTCTAAGACGAATAGAGCCCATTGAATCCAAAATTTTTAGACCTGAACTCTACAGAGTCCAAGCGCGAGTTCAATTCGACGGACTCTAGCACAGTAATATTTCTTGATTTTCAGACTTCAAAAAGCGACGTGGGTCAAACAAAAGGAAATGAGACTTAAACAAAATCAGCGTTCCTTCGTCAGAAATACGATATTTCTGAGAAACATGATGGAAATCATTTCAAACAGGATATGGTCGCATCATCTGACAACGGATCTTTTACTTACAACTGTCTTCGTCCAAACTTTATTTTCATGCCTTTCAAATATTTTCTCATAACTCCTAAAATATGAATCTAATAAAAATTCTAAACTTAGATTTTGAAAGAGCACAAAATTCGGATTTTAAACTAATATTTTACAGCTTATGGTGACCAAACTTAATCGATCGAAAAATGAAGGAATATTAAGTCTTAAAATTTTTGACCTATTCATTAGTAATACCGATCAAATATAAGATCAAAATGACAATGAGTATCAACCATTGGTAATGATTTGGTTTTTATTAATCTTTTTGATATATTAATCATTGTTTCACGTAACATTACTGAAGTATGAAAACTATCCCAATAATCAGAATTGTTTTCAATTGATGTTGATTGTGATCGTTGATTACTATACAATAATTTTGATTTCAATAAGAAACAAAAAAAAAAGAAATCTGAAAACTTACGAATCACAACAATCGAGTAGTTCTGAAGGTATGGAAGATTGAGATTCTCCTACATGATGATGTGCAGATTTAAATTGAGGATATTGTTGATGAATAGGAGAATTATTAATTAACGATTTTAATTCACAAGGATAGATTTCATTGTCTATTAATTTATGATTGGTAGACAATTCAATATTTGAATAATTATGAATGTTTGAGGTAGTTTGATTAGAACTTGTTATTGATGACTTTGGTTTATGATCATTGATATCATCATCAATACTGTAATGGTAGAATTAAATATTGACAAAAATGTGAATTTTATGTTTTTTACTTAGATGAATTTGTTGATGTAGAATTGATATTTTGTATTGATTTTAATTCATTTTCATGATCATTCCATGATTCAATAATATGACGTACTCGTGTTACATATTCATCATTAATATGAGTTGATGATTGAATAGGAAATGATAATAATGGTTTTACATTACAGAAAGAAGTTGATGAATCACATTGAGATATTGATGAGGATAATGGAAGCCATGAAATGATCGTCGATTCTTCGTCGTTTGAATGCATAGCTAAAATTGAATTTGACAGAAAGTACGTAGTGAATCGGAATTCTCATTATTCAACGGAGCAATTTGAAAACAAACCTCATCACTAGCCTCAACATAGCTCATTATCCATATATTCATCTATTTTGAGACGAATCAAGATTAATTTGTCGAAGTCAAACATCTCTGAAAAAGCTTTTTAAGTTTTGAAAGTTACTGTCTAAAAATCTCGATGTTACATAGACTTGTAGAGCTTAAGCGCCTCTTTATAAATAAGAGTGAAATAATGATACAATGAAATGCCTTCCAGGAAACTGTTCTCAAAGATCTTTAGCAAAAGTTCATTTGATCGATTAACTTCACTTCGACCAAATATAACATAGTATTGTACTTTCCACATTTCTCTTTGTTCAATAGTGAAAGCCACAGCGATTGTATTTTGAAAATAATAGTCGTTTCATCAACGATGAATTTATATGAATAAAAAAATGTTAGCGCAATCTTCGTGGGATTAAAATGTGAAATACAATCTAATAACTGCTACTAATTACAAGGAGAATGTTTTATTCTATATATCTTGAGACACATTGCTTCAATCTCATTTTACTTCATTCTCTAAAAATACAATAGGAAAGTGGTTCATATATTGTAACGAGCCGTTATTGATATACGATTGATGATCATATGTGATGGTCTCCGATTAGCATCTGTGAAAGGAATGAGTTCAAATTTGTATCCTATGATACTTCAACATTCATTTTAAATCATGTTTCATAAAAGAGAGGAGAATAGCTTAGCACATGATATGCCTATTCTTTATCGATTGCATGGTGATGTATAGATCTCGAATATTTTCAATTCTTTTGTATGTTATAGTTACATATGTATGATGGATTGTATTCATCGTTTGTATTTTTTGAAATAGCAACACGTGTATTTGATGGTAAAATGACTTGATTATCATTCATTTTTTTAATATAGATAAAAAGAATTTATTATTTTCTTGAGACTATGATAATTGTTAGAGTATCTTTCTAAAAAAAAATTACCTTTTTGCTGAACATTCATATTTTTATCATTATTTATTTGTTCATTTTCATCCATTAAATTTTGACGTATTAGAATACGTTCTGATGGATTTTGATTACTTTCTATCGTATTTTTTACATTTGATTGTTTGAGATCTTGATGTTTATGATGTTTTCTTAAACACTACTGAATGAAATTTTTCAATTAAGACAAAAAAAAGCTGCTAACTTTGAAATAACTGTTCGTTGATATGAGATTTTTTTCATGTCCGGCTTTGTTAAATATTCTATAAGAACATTTCGATTTGAATATGATTGTAAATTTTTTCGTTTTTTCTTTTCAATTCCGTTCACATAATTCTTTTGTTGTAATAATGAATATTTACATTTTTTGGGTTTTTCAAAATAATTATTAGATGTTACATTTTGATTTATCATTGATTTTAAATTAAGTACACTTTTTGAACATATAACTGGACATTTTTTTGATTTTTCTGATAATAATATTCGTTTAGACATTATTTTAATTATATCTTAAATTAAATGAATACTTCAATATTAATAGTCTGACTAAAATATCCGCAAATCAAAGATGTCTTATTGACTACTATTTATGATAGATATCGCCACATATCAGATTTATTATTCACCTCATTAAAGATTTGTTTAGTATTAAGAACTAAACTCGAATAATTAAAGGAAGGTAGTTTGTTCTTATGTAATCTTAATTTCTTTTAATTAATAGAATTTAATCCTCTGACGTCAAAACTTTTCTTTTGAATTGAAAAATGGTTTTTCTATCAGTTCATTGTATTTGACTCGAAAGGATTAAACAGAAACCTTATGATCATCGAGAAAAAAAAACCAATTCTTCTCATCTTTTAAACAAAATTTTAAATTGCAAGGAAAACAGTCAATGTTTGATCTAACCTGTACTTCTTGGAATTCTTTTTTTTTTTACAGGCAAATGTGTTACACTATCATAATGAAAAATAGATAGTGATGATGCTAGTTTAACCTTCTTCTCAGAAGAAAATCTTCCAAGAATTATTCGCTTAAGACTAGAGCAGATAAACTGCACTGTTGAAGTCAAGCAATTCAAATGTGTTGATTTATTCGAAGTGTTGATGTAAATTACCGCACCATGGAAAATAGATATTCGATTTTAGGAAATTTCTAGCATTCAAAATCAATTTTCAAGGATGTTCTTGTCTAGTTCTTTTTTCTGTACATTTTCTAACATTATTTTCATTTCAGAATTTCTAAATATGAAGAAAATTTTTGAGAAAAGCTTTTAAAATTTTTCAACCGCTACTAAAGATCAATGTATTGATTTGTACGTCTAACCTTAAATTAACTAATTATATTACAAAATCGAGAACAATAGAAAATGAATATCTTTTCAAGTATTCTCGAAAGACAATAGATCATAAGACAATAAGAGAAATCATGATGTCACTGGATAGAAACAGGAAGAAACACGAGAACATCTGAAATGGATTTATACAACAAGATAAAAGAAAGGGAATATATGTATGAAATAAAATTCCAGAACAACCGGTCTTGCTGAAATTTTCAGAAAATATGTGTCGCACTCTAAATAGTTTACCGTCAAAAGTTGAGCACATAAGATTGAGTTGTTAAAGATTTATCTTCGTATTAGGAGTTGAAAACTAGTGATCTATATAGCAAAAAACTTTTCTTCCATATCTAGTCATACAGATTTCTGGTTAGTGCCAAAATACTGTCAAAACTTGTCACTACAATTTAACAGAGTAGAATTTCCCAAAAATTTGTTTTTTCTCAAGCATATAAAACAAAAAAAAGAAACAATTCGACTCTGTTAAGTTATAGCACGTAGCTATTAAATTATATTAAAACATTTCTGACTTTTCTAGTCTTTGAAATAGTCGAAAAATTTTAAACGCACAAGCAAGTAAAAACACAAAAATTCATATGAAAAAAAACGCGTAGCAAGTTTTCGATCGGAAAAATGAAATGTTTTTTTTTCTTTATCAAGGATATGTCCGATATGTGTGAATATATCACATGTTGCCCTTTTCTCTATTAAATTATAATATATATCATCTATGGTTTTTCTTTCTTTTTCTCTTATGCACGTCTATCTACCATGTAATATATATATGGGTAAATTTGAAAGAAAACTTAAATAATAGCAATATGATACGCACATCCATACGTAAGGTTATAAGTAATATCTTAAGAGCTGACAATGACTATATTTAATAGAAAAAAAGGGCCGAAAATTCTAAATTGTTTGTGAAGACTATATTATAATAATTAATTATTTACATAGATATAAGGATCGAAGAAAATCGACTCATGAATTATCGACCTTTGAATCAGTCCAATTTTTAACACATGAACGAGCAAGCATATTTTGAATAACAGCAGTTGATTTATAAACAAATGTTCGGTAACATATTTGACAACTTGAAAAATCTTGAGTTCAGCAGTATTTTTCTGATTTTTAGTTGGAAAAGCAAAATTTTCCAAAATAAAAATGTGTTTGCTTTCTTATTTTCAATCAGAATCGATTCACTGTCACATCTAGAGAGTTCTTTTTTTTCTTAGTGTTCATTATCGAAGTTGATGTAGATTAATATCTTTCCTTTGTTCCAATAACAAAATTATCCATATCCCATTCAATAGTCCTGAATCGTATTTTTCAGTTTTTAAAAGATATCTTTTGGAAGAGAATTGGAGAAGTCGTCGATTAGATTAATCTATAACAATCTATTAATTCATCTTGATTGAACGATATTGAAAACATTCTCGACTAATATGAAACAACCACAACCGTTCAAACGATCCCAATAGGCGCAATTCTAAACGCCTTACTTTTGTTTGTTCGTTAAAAATTATGGCAGCAATTGATTCATTCTTGAGTATCAAATGACTTATTAATTCATCTCGTTCACATGTGATCGATGACAACCACACTTTGATAGACTGAATCAACGAACTAATAGAATACTCGGAGACTGTTGAATCTCGACGAAGTGATTTAAATTCTTGCAAATAGATAAGTGAGACACTCTACGACAGCAAAAAATACGAAATAAAATAAATAAATGCCCATCAGTACGCTTTTCTTTTCTCTTTCACTTCTAACTTGTTGTAAACATACAAAACAAAAGGAGATGTAAAAGTATTATGGCAATCCATCCTACTCTAACATTCATATTTGTATTGACAAAAAACTTCTTTTATTCGAGGTCTTACTCATACATTTGATATCTATTCTCATTTGATTAACAACATTACATTTCGCATGCCATTTTTAAATTTTGACAACAGACAATAGCTTCGCAATAATTTTTTTCTTCTTCTAATGCTACGGTACTATTCGTCTGTATCTAACATATTTCTATCGTCTATTCGAAGATAACACCTACCCTTCTATCTCCCTATTTCCTTAACTTCCTATCCCACCATCCCTTATCTCCCTATCCCTTTGTCTTCCTACCCTTTTGTGACCTTTGACTCGACACAGACACACACTGAACATTATATATATAGATTGCTTATTCTTATACTTCAGCCTCAATTCATTTATATTCTATAGTTCGTCATATTGAAAATATCTATCTATCGATGATCAAAAGCGACATCATCGAGGCACATTCATCACTTTAATTAGTAGATCAAGTTCTTTCTTGACTGATGCATTTAATTTAATTCGTCTCTGAAAAGTGCCTTAAGGAGAACCCTCCTTCCGAAGTCTATCTTCTAAACGATTCAAAAGATTTCGATGAAAACTTCAGGAAATAGAAAAGCTAATGTAACTAGAATCTGATAAAAACTTCAACCAATCATTTTTGATAAGTGAGGAGTTATACTCAATTTACTCATGAAAATGGGACTTTTGGCACGAAACATTTTCTCGCGGTGTGGTAGCATGAGAAATATTGAAATTTATCTTTGTTCAATAGTAGTGATCATTTTAAACCGAAAATCGAAAAAACTGCTTTGATCTCTTTCAAAGATTTTCAAATATCTGAACAACGGAGATATATT